CCGCATGACGCCGCTGATGGAACACGCCGCCGCTCGCTTCTCCTCCTCCGGCAGCCGGGCTCTCCCTCCACGCGCCGCGGGCAGCACCGCACAGGTGATGTCCTGCAGTCTCTCACATGTCAAGCAAGCCCTCCTAGCACCCCGGTGCCCCCTGAAAACATTTAATTGCTGATTTCTAGACAGCTACCTATTGTAAAATGGCAGTTTTGCTCTCAGCTTGTACTTGAGGGCTGTCACTGACCTGAAGTCACATCTTTGGTCACAATTAATCAGCTCCTTTATATCTCCGGATTTGTGAAGGTAAACAAATTCTTGATGAAATGTAGCTTGACTAAAGAATGATTCTGGTGATAACCAGAGAGAAATATAACCCAACATTTATTTGCCTGTTTGGATTTTTAGAGTAAAACTAAAAACCCAATAAAAGTAAATTTCGCCATGTTATGACTACATAAATCAGGGATGTTGTAGAAAAAGTCACTAGATTATGCAATTCCTCTTCAAAACAGATCAGTGCTTTCAAGAATATAGTCCAAAACAATACAAAATGGGTATTGGCTGTGTTTATGCAGTACATGAATCACTTAAGATTAAGAATCATTCTGAGATTAAAGAACAGCAAAATTATAAAAGATACTCTGTATTGGTCACATTACTCAAATTTCATGAGTATGAATAATGTTTACATTTCTCATAAAACAGTGCATTTCCCTTATGTATACCACTCAAGACTGTGAAAAAGTTCACGGACACAAAATTGTGCTTTCCTGTAAGCCTTTTGGAGAAACCGGCTGTCTTTTTGGGGAATTGGCAGTCCAGGATGAAGTAGAAAGCCTATGGGAGACTCAGAATGAAAAATCCAAGTGCTCAACAAGGAGTGACCTTCTCCATTCATCCTGAAAGCAATTAGGGAGAAACAAATCATCAGCTTCACACAATCTCTCCATTTATGCCTCACATTGAAATGTCTCTATAAAAGCACCTCCTGTATGGGATGTTATCTTCAGTGCTTTTGTGGGGGCTCTTTTTTTGCCTTAAAATACAAAATTTTACACTTGTGGATGTGTACAGAGCAAAGGGCAATAAAGAATGGAATGGGATAGGAAGAACCCATAATTTGGTCACAAAGATTTATGTGGCTTCAAGGTAAAAGGATTTTCCCAAGAGTTTCCTAGCTAGTAGGATACTACAAGAAATCTACAATTAGTATTTCATCAAATTTTGATCAAAACATTTTGTGAGAGCATTTTAGTGAGTTGTGTTTTCTACATCCACTAGGATTTACCTCTGTAAAAACATACCAGGAACAGTGCTATATTTTGCAAGGTCTTTCACTTCTGCATCAGAAGTTCAATTTAAACCCATATGTGGTTTTAACAGACTAAAGATGAGCCAATTATGATTTCAAATGCAGAGCACAAACTATGTTATCCTAATCAGCATGTAGACAGGAAACTGGGAGATTGCACAAGGTTTTTTAGAAAAAAATAGAGACCTTATACTATTGTTTATTAAAAAATAAAAGTATGTTGTTTTATAGTTCACTGCCCTATGGTAATCATAGAGAAATACTTGAGACTCTCTAATCCTATTACCAACTCTGCAAATCAGTGGGAATGTGAATTGGTGCCCTGGATGTTGAATAGTCAGAGTCCTTCTGACTTCAGCCCACCTGCAGAACTCCTGACCACGGTGCCTTTACAGCACAAGCTCCTCAGGGCTTCTACTTCACAAGTCTGTTGAGATCTAGAATATATCATTCACATACCATTTGCTTCCTTTCCCTTACTGTTGAACAGCATTCTCTGCAGTCCCATCAGGGTTCTCTCAATGTTCCAGACCATCCTCCCATTTACAAAATCTTTTATTTTTGTTACCTCTAAATTTGGATTTGTCAAAATGCACCAGTTCTTGCATTAAAGCAAGAAATTTTTTGGTCCTACCATGAATTACGTGTGTGCATCTTTTATTACAGTAACTTGAAGTTTCCCTCTTTTCTCTCTGTAAAATTCAGGATTTACAACCCTCAGGGTACACCTACATACCTGAGAGTAAATCTCCTGTCCAGGTTCAGTGGCTGCAGATTCTTGCAAGCCTGGAGTGCAGGTGAGCATCGTTTCCAGAGATTTCACATGACCACAGATCTCTCCTGGTCACACACAGTATCAGGCTAAACCAACCTGCTGCTTACTGAGGTTCATCTATGTGACCAGGTGATGGCAAAGCCAAGACAAAATCATAATCTCTGTCAATGTTGTGAATTTGTGTTTGGAAATTACTGAATTGTAACAGTCTGTGACTTTGTGATTTATATATAACCATAATTTTTTTACAGAAACATCATGACAAGCATTTGATGCAGAATTTGCAGTTTACTAATCAGAATTCCTCTGAAATATGAGCAGGAAACATTCTGAGGAAAACCTTGCCTTAACCTTCTGGGACTGCAGTGTCAATATTGAGGCAGGAGAGAACAAGACATTCTTCCTGGGTTACATATACCTTGTAGCTGAAGAGCAGGATGGCTTGGGGAAAAGTGGGACAATCAACTTTGCTTTTGATCAAAAGGAGAATATGCCTGAAGCAGGGAGTGCTCTTGACTGCCACATACTCAATAGCTGGCTTTCCTGGAGAAGAAAGGGGCTGGAAGTCCCCTAAGATCTTTTACTATAAATAACTGTAAATATATAATCCTAACAGAATTAATTGACCCCTCCAGAGCAAGATGTTGTGTGTGGCACCAGGTGCACCTGCCAGACATTCCTCTCAAGCACAAGTTTAAACCCTCAGGAAGGGCTCTGCTCTGCTGCACATGCAGCCAAAGGAAGCTCTTCCTGCACTATTTACTCCCCAGGCAGGATTCTACAGTGTCCTGGCAAGCAGGTCTGCAGGAGCCAGCCCGGAGTGACACAACAGCCCCAGTGCAATTTGAGGTGCTTTGTACATTGCCACTTTTCATGGCAACACTTGTAGCTCCATTTTCCCAAATGCAAGTACAAGTCCTAATCCTTTCCTGTATAATTTTGCAAATTAAACCTAAATTATTCAGAAGTACAGCTGTTGTTGTGTAATCCTTGCTAGTTCTTTATGCAGCTTTCTGTCTAGAAGTCACAAATTTTTCTTGGAATCTAGTGCTGAAATAAGTGCAAGAAACACCTTCTGTCATGCTAAAAGCAGAGTTCTTCCTCCAAAAGGCAAAAGCTAGTGACTTTTTCAGTATCTTTCATTATTTTATACCAATTACTTTCCAGTTTATTTCAACCAGCTGGAAGACCCTTTCTGCTGTTAGCATAGTGTGTTATATACAAGTCCAAGGTTAGAGCAAATGTTTTAATTACAATAACATACATATACAGCTGGAAACACCTCCTGCATGACTTATAATCACATTAAATCAGCTGTACCACCACAGCAAAAAGGGAAACCTGAGGTGTGCTGAACTCTGACAAGTCAGCCACAATCAATGTCACTCTAATCACACTCCAAAGGGATACTCTGCTTTCCCTGGCTGGTGCCTTGCTGCTTACCAGTAGAAACACATCATTAATAATGTCTCTAAAGAGTTTGAAAACCTTTACAGAAAAGCTTTTCTTAAGCCCCTAAGTCTGCATATGATAAAGTTTTTTTTGACTTGTGACTAAGACAGAAAAAATATTTTAAAAAATTTTTAAAAATAATGATTTTTGCATGACTTTATCCTATTCTCTAAATGCTCATTTTACTCAAGACTGTATTCCATCCCATACTGCCTTAACAAAATGTCTGTGAGAAGCAGACTGCTGTTTTCA